TCTGCAAACAGCCTGAAGACCCCCACAGAACATCAGCAAACAGCCTGAAGACCCCATAGAACATCTTCAAACTGCCTGAAGACCCCATCTGCAAACAGCCTGAAGACCCCCACAGAACATCAGCAAACAGCCTGAAGACCCCCACAGAACATCTGCAAACAGCCTGAAGACCCCCACAGAACATCTGCAAACAGCCTGAAGACCCCCACAGAACATCTGCAAACAGCCTGAAGACCCCATCTGCAAACAGCCTGAAGACCCCATCTGCAAACAGCCTGAAGACCCCCACAGAACATCAGCAAACAGCCTGAAGACCCCCATAGAACATCTGCAAACAGCCTGAAGACCCCTACAGAACATCTGCAAACAGCCTGAAGACCCCCACAGAACATCTGCAAACAGCCTGAAGACCCCCACAGAACATCAGCAAACAGCCTGAAGACCCCCATAGAACATCTGCAAACAGCCTGAAGACCCCTACAGAACATCTGCAAACAGCAGAGACAAACTCGACTGCAGCTGAGGATCTTGTCCATTAACCTGGACCTGAACCTGGACCAGGACCTGGACCTGGACTCTTCTACTGAGAAGCCATGATCTGTTTATGTAAGGACTGAAGCTTGTTGTTTAACATGTCCTGACTGAAAAAAGCAAAGCCTTCTGTTGTTGTGTTGTTCTAAAACAACATACAGTATCTAACAATATTTAAATGTTTTCCACAGCCATGGAGCCATTCCAGATGTGTAATGTGCTCATGCCAGAGGCCTGAACAGTCCATCTGTAGTGAACTCATGATTTTATCTGCTCTGAAAGTCTGAACACGGGTTAGCCTTTWTTCTCATGACCAATGGGACTTTTCATATAAAATGCATGTGAGCAGTGAATTATTAATGGTGCTTTTTATTCTCCTCRTGTAGGATGGGAGATGTTAGAATAATAATGTCTCATTTATGACCGACTCCTGCAGGTCCTGAACACTCTGTAACAAGTTATCAGCTCAGACAGAACATCTCTCATTTCACATCCTTTCACATGTATGACGTTCAAAGTTCGTGCAACTAGCACTTTCCTTTATCAAGTTATGACTAAAATTAATTTTAAAAAACATGTTACTTCCTGCCTGACTCGATCAAGCTACTCCCCGCTGCCTCCACCCCCCTCAAACCCCACCATCAATCCAAGCAATCACGTCTCGGGCCATCTCCGCCCACATTAAGACCTCGGCCAATGATGATTTGGGTCATCTCCGCCCACAGGGCAACACGTTCGCAGAGACCCCTACTTGAGAAAACCTGAAACTATCTGAGGATGCATCAAAATGCTTTGTGGAAGTAAACCTACAACCACAAACCTCACTTCAACTGTCACAAATGAATCACTAAACCAACACGTTCACTGTGTGTCTAATTAAAAATGAAGCCAAAGCATCTTTAAATCTGCAGTTTTAACAACATCAGCTAAACAACTCAAAGATTTGCACCGATTTGTTGAGGTCCCTCAGTATATGTCTCCTGAGACAAGCAGTCCACCTGGAGTCAAACCGTCACCATCACAGACAAAAAGAATCCGACACATCATACCTGGTTGTGAAGCCCCCTCTGGTCCCTGTGGGGGAGCCGAGGCTCTCTCCTGGTTTGGCTGGCCTGTCCCGGTTCATGTGCTGCAGAATGGAGCTCAGCTCAGTGATCACTGTGTTCTTGGAGTCTGGTGTGGACGGTGGGCTGTGTAGCTCGGGGGGCTGATCGCCCCACAGCTTAGATGTCCTTTGAGAAGGAGTCCTTGGAGGCTCTGAGGATGATGGAGGAGGAGGAGGGACTTGAGGCGGGGAGCCATATAACTCTGGAGGCTCCTCAATGAGAGCGTCATGATACAGAGATGTTCTATTGATGACAGATTTGCCCTTGGGTTTGGGTGGGACAGGGGGCCGATCGATCAGGAAGGCATGTCCGTCTGCAGTGGCATAGAGACTTTCCAAAGCGCTGTCACAGAAGCCTCCTTCTGACGACAAGGTGGAGATGCTGGAAACATTGCTGGTGGTTTCCATGTGCTGGGGGTCTCCACTGCTGCGACTGTCGACCTCTTCAATGCCCGAGTCGGCCACCGTCTCTGGTTCAGGTGGAGCAGGGTGGTACGAAGGGGGCATGCTGTTTGCCACCCGCTTGTGTTGATTCGTGACGGGTGGTGGAGCGTGGGGATGGTACGGGGGTAATGCAGGTCCTCCGTTCCGTCTCTGCTGCTGAATCATCTCAGCTATGGCACTGGCCTGGTCATCAGGAATGTCAATACTGTTGGCAAACTCCAGCGGCGGGGGGAGGGGCTCTGAAAACTCAAACTCTTCATCTATGTCGACTGAGGCCAGAGGTGGAGGAGGGATGCGGAATGGCAGTTTGACTGGCTCTTCTAAAGACTCGCCTAAAGGAACGCTTCTTCTCCGTGAAGCAGCTGACTGGGGATTGGACAGGTTGGGGATGTTGTGAGGACTGGGCTGGTTGGGGTCCTTTAACTCAGARGGGCGGTTGCTGTCCTGGACGTCCAGCTCCTGGTTGTTTGCCTTGTTGTTTGTGGCGTCTGTGTGGACCATCAACAGCCCCGTAGACTTCGGCTGCGACGTATCAGACACATTCGCCGGTGCGCTCTTCCTCTCCTCGAGTGGCTGATGCTGCCGCTCTTCACGTGCTCCGTCACTCTCATACTTGTGTTCGGTCATCTGTCTCCGTAGACCTCCACGGCCCGGCCGCCCCATCGTTGCCGTGGATATTGTAGCAAAGCTCGCCTCAATCCCAGAGCGCAGTTTGGTGTCAATAAATAAAGGCTGGTTGAGGTCCGGTTTGTGGCTTTGTTGAAGAGGCAGGGACTGGGCTTCATGCTTGGGGGTCTGCTGAACCTGAGGAGGATTTGTTGGCTGATTTTGGGGATGGTTCTGTTGTTCTTTCATGGCTCGATCACGAGCGGCCAAAGCCAGAGCAAGAGGAGAATTGGGGTCCAGAGGTTTCCCAGTGACAGGATGGAGGTAGGTCCCATTGGCCTTGTAGTGGCTCTTAGGAGGKGTGGCTGGGAGACTAACTGGACTGTCCAGATTGGGACACTGGCCTGTTCTTGTYTTCAGAGGCTCCCGAACCACTGTGGGCTCAGGAGTGTTGAAATCTGTCAGATTTCCACTACCACCTCCAACTGGTGGTCCAAGCTGCATTGAAGGAGGAGCCATTATCCTTCTGAGCCGTTCATCACTACTAAACATACCTTCATCAATGGACTTGGACTGACGAAGACGAGGGGTCGGTGTGGGACCACTTGTTTCGTCATCCCCAATGTCTATTGACTGGAAAGCAATGGAGTTCTTTTTTGCTTCTAGCCTCTTCTCGCGGTCCCGCACTGCTCCGGCGATAGCTGCTGCAAAAGGGTTGTTTAGAGAGAGCGGGTCGTCAGGACGTAAACCTCCAAGTCCAACAGCAGTGGGTGTGAGGGGTGGATGTTCAGGGGTGGTGGGCTCGATCTCCATACTGCTACCCTGGCTGCTCTTGCCACTGCTGCTGGTGGAAGGCTCTTTAACGATAATAGTGGGGATGGGGATGGAGGAGCATGTCCTTTCTACGGGTGTGGTGGGCATGGACACTGGTCCTGAGGGGCTAGATGGCACGTGGCAGGTTTTTTCTGGACTGTCTTCCACGTTCGACTGTTTGACCAGCATTCCCTTCCTTCTAGCTGGTTTTGCTGGCACATACAACGTCTTATTACCTACCTCAGAGTACGGGTTCTCAGGCACCGGTGTGCGCCCTCGGGTGCGTGTGCTCTCAAACTGCTCTGAGCTTTGGCGGAAATAGCCTCGCCTTAAAGTACTGACGTCTGTGGTCCTGCTGATGGTTGTCACTGCGTTGGGGGAGTTCTGGGTGAAGCTGGGTCGTGTGGTGCCGTAGCTCTTGGCTGTGGGGCTAGCAACTGAGTTGTAGCCAGGTGGAGAAGGGGGTGAAATGGCCGGGGGAGGAGGGATGTCCTCTGAGGTGTCTGGCATCGAGAGGCTCCGGGAAAACTTGAGCGGGGGAGGGGTGAGGAGTCCCTGCTTTTCATCCTCTGATGTACCTTAGAGACATGGAGCAGACAGAAAACTTGTGTGAGAACATCCTTTACTTCCTACTTTCATAGTATTTCTACTGTTGGTGTAAGCTCTTTTTAACCTTTAGAACCAAATATTTACTATTTACTACGCAATTCAGTTCCCCACTGAACAAAATACACACTTAGTGTACTTAGTATTTGCTGCTAAACTACTCTGGGATACTTTATCACACAGMGGTCAAACTCCAGTCCTCCAGCGCAGCTATCCTGCAGGTTTTCCTGCTTTAACTCTTCTGAATCAGTGGCTGAATCACCTCTTCAGGTTCTGTAGAAGCCTCACCATTCATGCAAACCAGGTGAGTTGGAATCAGTCAGTATATTTATTCAGCAGAGGATTAGATATCTACAACGTTACCACTTCTCTGCACAAATTCAGCTCAGATTCTGCAAAGAAAATGATAGAAAATGTAAATGTTTTAATCCTAAAGTGTTGCCTGTATTTTCTTCAGGTGGATGAAGGTAACTCAGTTTGTGAGCATTAAAAATGTGTTGCAGCACATAGAGGAACAGGAACAGGACACATTATTACACAGTTACACTCATCAGCTCAGAACGTACAGCTGTSTAGCTGTTTCTCATGTTCTGCTGATGGCACAGCTGAGTGACATCACCTCACATGATCCTCCTGAAGTTCTGCAGTCAGAGTGAAGTTTCAATGGATAACAGGCTGAAAGACACTCTGCTGACCCCATCCTTTAAATTCAGCTAGAATTACATGTAGGAGTGCAGAGGGACTACACAGAGACAGGACACACAAAGTGCTGGACGTGCACACATTAACTATATGCACACAATAAATACACAAACATCATGCACACACTAATTACACATAAACCATACACACAATAAATACACAAACATCATGCACACACTAATTACACATAAACCATACACACACTAACTACACAAACATCATGCACACAATAAATACACAAACATCGTGCACACACTAATTACACATAAACCATACACACACTAACTACACAAACATCATGCACACAATAAATACACAAACATCATGCACACACTAATTACACACAAACATAATGCACACACTAATTACACACAAACATCATGCACACTAATTACACATAAATACACACACTAACTACACAGATACCAGGTACATTAAACACACTAACTAGACAAACATCATGCACACACTAAGTACACAGGTACATCAAACACNTATATATACTGTATATCACAGTAACTGTATATATACTGTATATCACAGTAACTGTATATATCACTGTAAGAAATGATCATAAAAAGCAAAGATAATGTCATTTTTAGAGCATTTATTCATCAGAAAACTGTAATCATAATCAAACCCAGTATTTTTACCGTAGTACAAATGAACATAACAGAAGAACAAAAGAATATTTTATATACATTGTAAAATGAATTCAACAACAAACAAAAACATTTCTCAAATTTTCAACAATATCAAAATAAAGTTATAACCAGAACTTAAAGTACAATTACTCATTTAGACAGAAAAATGTTATATGTGTCCTGTGTGTCCTGTGTGTAGTTGGTGTTCATTTCACATGTTGTATAATTTCTATCGGTTTCTCTCTTTACTGTTCATATATTTCTCTTTTACTTTTTCTTTTTCTTTAAAGTATTAAAAAAGCCACTGATGATGCAGAAATTAAGAAACTAACATTCAGTTTTGTTGAAGTGGCAAAAAAAGAAGAAAAAGACAGAAAAATGTTTTAGTGGGACAGGACCTTAAGGTGCAGGAGCAGCTGGAAAGGTGGCTGTATTTTCTAACAGCCTCAGCCAGCTGCTCCTCAGCAGAACTGAAGTTTTACAGTTCACTGTCTTTTCTGCATAAACATGCCCACATGGAAGTTCTGAGTAATCCCACAACATGACGCACCCCCTGAGGGACGAGTATGAAGAAGGAGCCCTCAGAGCTCATCCAAGAACAACAAGAGGTCCTGTTTGTGACGAAACTGTCAGTGAGCAGCTTTAGTCACTCCTCACAGGATGAATCCATCTTAAAGCTACAGAAACAGCTGGGATTTCTGAGACCCACGATGCCAAGCTGCCTCAGACACAGAGAGGAGCAGGGTTTGAACAGTTCAGGTTGGTAAAGTGATCAGTTTATTTCAGGTGGTCTCCTGGCTCTGCTCAGTGCAGAACCAGTCTGCTCAGATTGGAACGGCTCATCTCTTTCTTCATCTTTACAGACTGGAGCAACACCTTCATTATCACAGATTAAACCTTTATCTGCTGGTTCCTCTCGAGCTCTGTCAACATCACAGGAACTCTCAGATCAATGAAGTCCTTCACACCAAAGACTCACTCAGCTCCAACTCACAGAGCACCTTCACTGTGAGACCTGCACTTCATCCCTGCTGTGAACCACCCAGTGTACAGCCTGAAGACCCCCACAGAACGTCTGCAAACAGCCTGAAGACCCCCACAGAACATCAGCAAACAGCCTGAAGACCCCATCTGCAAACAGCCTGAAGACCCCCACAGAACATCAGCAAACAGCCTGAAGACCCCCACAGAACATCAGCAAACAGCCTGAAGACCCCCCACAGAACATCTGCAAACAGCCTGAAG